AAAAAAAAAAGAGGATAGCACTGGAAACATCACAGCTAATCATAACAAAATGTCACCATCACAGCTGCAAAATTCTGACAGTCAAAAACATGACGATCAAGCGGGCATATAATGGACTAACATAAATAGTTTTAATTATTTTTTTCATACTACTACAGGACAAGAATTATTTATTTGTTATTTTAATATTATAATTTACTAATAAAGGAGTAATGGTTATGTTCAAATTATGACATTTTTTTTTATTATTATTTATAGATATAAACAATAAACACACAATAGGTATAATTAATAAGTGTAGTATAACATCACTGAAAAAAAACATTTAATAATATTTAAAAAATGTTTTTTCTTCATAATTTTAGAGGAAAAAATATTTTTAAATGATTTATAAGAATATTTTTAAATATTTTTAAAATGATTCATAGGAATATTTATTAAATAATTTCAAAATATTTAAAAAATTTTTTTAATAAACATTTATTTCATATATTTAAAATAATGTTTTAACATTTTATTTTCAATGGAAAACTGGCCATTTGAATATTTTATTAACATTTATAAAATAACAAATAAACCTTTTTATATCATTTTTTAAAACATTTAAAAAATATTTTTTTGTTACTTGGGATTATATCTATATAACCAGGGGTAGACTAACACCCATTCGGCCTGCTATTATTGAAAAAAAATCGGCCCTATTCTATTTCAACCTAAACTTTTAGACTTTGGTAGTTTATTTTTGAATTTTGGTTACTCACTTATCACCATAATAAACAGGTGATAAATGTTTTTAAAATTAAAATATAATATTAATTGTTTGTTATTTATAATGTGCCTTAAATCAAAAATCATAGATAATATCTAGAGCAGAGGTATTCAAACTTTTTCATCACACGGCTCCTTTAAATCTTCACAAAATGTTGACGACTTCCAAATTATAAATGAAAAAAAAATCAATGTTTATATGAATGTAATTTATATTTTATTATTTATTTACCATATAACATAAATAAAAAAATTAAAGCTAAATTTAGCGAATGATTGTTGTAGACAATTCAACGTTTCCCAACCGGTGTGCCTCAATGATAATAGTAAACATTTTTCGTAAAAATATTTATTGGTTTTCAATTATACTACGCGGCTCCCTTCGACAACTCCCGCGACGCCACTGGGAGCTGCGACGCACATTTTGAATACCTCTGATCTAGAGTATAGTGCCCCAAAAAATGTATTTTAAATGCCATAATATCCAAAAAATTACTAAAAAATTGTCTTAACAATTCTTGAGTATAAAAACAAAAATACGAACTTAATGATTTAAACGGGATACGATGTAACACACACTAACCAATTAGTTGTTACTGATTAGAGTTTATAAAATCATAAAAAGTATTATCGACAAATTATGAATGGTCACTGCAACATTTTTGGAATTACCTATTAAATTTAATCTAAAATATAAAAATGTAACCTTGGCTATTTTTTACAATGGACATCTATTCTGTTCTTCTCGGTGAATGAAATAGCCTTGTCGGAACATCCCTCTTTTATTTTCTCAGGATATATCACGGTTATTTTTTATTATTTAGGTTTAAGTTACTTATCAGTGGTCATGTCACTTTTATATTATGTTTAATGAGTAAAATGATTAAATTACATGTATAATGTATATACATATATATTAAATACATCGCACACATATTAGAGTATTACATTATAAGAATAATATTTATTTATATATTCAATGGAAAACATTTCCAAAAATTAGATATGTTTACAATAATTGTGTGATAAAATTGACATGCCTTGCACTTGCTTCTATAGATTTGGACTTAACAGTGTTAAGAACAATAGAGGATCTGAGGTTTTCAAAACATAGGAAATAAATTTAAATTATTTGTTAGTAAAAAAAAATTTGTCAAGTATATAATAAAAATATAAAGAAAAACGTTATTACTGCATAGCTGTCAGAACAACTGTTTAAGAATCTGATTCATAACATCATTCTAAAATGATCTGTGATTGGTACAATTTTTACATCATCATCAATCAATAATTATCATGCTTAATGTCAAAATAACTTAAAGAACTGGTGAACAATTTCTCAAATTAACAAAATTAACACAAAATGATTAATTATATTATATAAAATAGCAAGTTTAAGATTATTAATGTTAACGAATAACGATCAAATTATGAATGATATTGCACGTTTGTTCGTTGACTGTCGTAATAATGCTGGTATGTTATAATTTATCATTCGTTAAAAAATATATATATTCTTACAATCTTACTATAATATGTACCCTCATTGTACGTATTTATGCCTAAATTTAAAACTGCTAAAATTTACGTGTATACCTAGTACCTACGCTATTATAATAAAAACAAAAATGTATCATTATAGACTATATTATATATGACTATATTAAGAAATTAAGTAGTTGTCAAATATATTACTGTGGTCTCTCGGCTGTAATATCATTTAAAACGTGGTAAATAGGTAATATGTTACCAAATTATCCTTATATTTAAATATTTTTAACTGAACTTAAATAATTTTTTAAGATTATTCCCCACCTCAATACTTTTTTTTTATTCATTTCTATTCAAATATTATAGATTATACCTACCTAACAGTCCTAACATGATTTATATCAATCCGAACGCGGAACGATTAAGCCGCCAACAGCACGGACGCTCAGGACAAAAAAAATTATTAATATCAGTCTTCTTCATTTCTAGCTGTGTTGATGTATAAATCTGCATGAGTTGGAATGAAACAATGCACATGCCATTTTAAAATGCAATTTTTTCTGCAAAAATTAATAACTACCGTAGTACTAATAATGTTTATTTTGACTCTTTTTAAACTATTTAAAATGTTCACCCATTAAAAAAGTTTGAAAATTTAACACGCGGGTCCTAATAATAAAATGCATTAATAGCAGTTCAAACATTTTTTTTATACTTTATACATTTTTATATGTATTTAAAGTTCACATTTTGATAAAATTCATCAAAATGTAGAAAAATTTAAAAAAAAGAATTTAAAATATTCATTTTCATATCTAACTTTAGAAATTTTAATGGAAAATTCCCTACAAGTTTTTCTAGTTTTAAAATTTTTTTTACGATATTTGAAAGAGTAGTATTTCCATTAATTGATAATTGATGTTGTATCTTCATTTAAAATAAATAACAGTAGGAATTTTATATTTTCCTAGTATTTATTTTATCATGTTCCATACATGGTAATATTTTTAAACAATTTTGACTATTTTTGAACTACTTATAGTCATGAGAACTAAATTTGTTTTCTTATATACAAATTTCTAAGAGTTCTTATCATAGTTGATATCAGAAATTTTAATAGAAGATTCCTAACAAGTTTTTATACCTTTATCAAAAAATAAGGTACGTTAGATTTTACTTACAGCCATGAGATATTTTTGATTTTTATTAATTTTTTTAAAATTATTAAATTTGATAATTTGATAGGATGACACTGTCATCATGACACAACTCCTCTGCTCACAATTGTTTTTCAAATGCAATGGTTTATCATTGAATTCAAATGTAACACATCCCTAAACCTTAATTAAAAATTGAATTTAGGACAAGTATGTTATAGATATTTGAAATTTAGATGAACGAATGTATTAAAACAACATTTTATGAGATAACTATGTAGCAATCCACTACAGCACTCATATACAGTATAAATATTTATAACTCAGAAAATATGTATGTTATCATTCAAAAAAGTAAAAAATAATACAATTATAAGGATAAAAAATATTGAAAAATATATATCGTTTTAAAAATGATGTTTTGTATTACTTGAAACCATGTAAAAAATTTTTTTCAAAAACAATAACACTGAAATAATTAGGTAATGTCTTACAATGAGTCAAACAGTATAATATATATTTTATACATTTACTATTTAGATATGCATTTAATTGTTTTATTAACAGATAGACTAACTGGAGTAGATTGTTCCGTCAAAAGTAAAGCCCTTATTTGGCTAAAGATCGTACAACTATTATTAAAGCAATAAAAGATAAACAAGTAAGATATCATTAAAAAAATCATAAATTTTAATATAAGAGCATAAATTGTTCAGATACAATTTTTTTTAAATCAATAATTCTCCAATGAACCCAAAAAATAAAACCCCACAGTTATTACAATCAAATTCAAGAGTAATTTAGTATAAGCAGTTATTTTGTTTTCAGAAAATTGGATACAAAATATTGAAACAAACTAATATAACAATGAATTTTGCGAAATCAAAATGTGCACAAAGTTAATGAGGTCAATATTCAAAATATTATTAAAATACATAATATTATTTTATTTAACATGGATTTAATAAATCATACAATTATAATAAAGTAGTCAAAATGAATTATAGTATAAACATGGTTTAATATATAAATATATTATAATCTTAAAAGTTCTAATAATGTAATAGTAGTTAATTAAGTAAACATATTTATAAATTATAAATTATTTTATTTTATTTTTTAGCTGACCCAGATGGTTGTTCAGCTTAAGATGGCTAGTAATATGATCATCATAACTGTATATATCATCAGGAAGTAGACAACCAGATGTTCCATCATTAAATACAACCTGGTATGTAAAAAAAACAACATTAATTTCAAATTATTAAAATTTAATGCATAATATAAATTACACTTACTGAATATGTAGGCTTATAATTTAACCCCATTAATAAACCTGTGTCGCCAGATTCCAAATGTATTTCTTCATTTATGGCTAAGAGATGATTTGCATAGTTCTAAAGAAATAATTTATGTATATTAGATGATGTAAATTATGTTTCATGAAATATTTCATTTATTTTAAGTGCTTTATTTTTCTTAACTTAAGTTAGTGAACAATTGCAAACATAAAAAAAAACGAAGTAAAAAAATAAAATGCATGAAATTTTAAATTTAAATGAATCAGATTAATGAATATTTTAATTCAGTGTTTACTGTACAATATAAACCAATCAAATGATCAACTAAATAACATCTTTTTTTATTATAATACTGAAATAATTCGAAATAATTTAAAAACGTAACATATTATGATCAAAATCAGTAATTAAATAACCCAAAAATATGAAAAAATTATATTAAAATACTGTTATTTAGTCGGTTTCAGGTTTAAGTTGAAAATCAAATTACTTAAAACCCCAACCTAGATGCATGAAAAATCAAATATTTCATATGATGACAATACATTATTTTTTTAGGCATTTTAAGGTAAATTTGTGATTTAACATATGTCATTATCTGAAAATTAATATAATATAATTATCTAACCTTAATTTCTTTAAGTCCAATACTGTCTGATATTGTACCATCACCGAACTTGACGATACCTAAAGGAGTTTTATCAATTTTTACAATTCTACATTGAGAGATCCTTCTATGTTGCAAGTGCTTTGCCCATACTTGCTGGTTTATGTTAACAAGCCGTTGCTAAAAATACAAACATCCACCATAAAATAACTAACATACGTAATATGAGGTATTAATTACTTTATCTGGAATATAACAATGGTTATTGCAATGGATCAAAATAATATGCTCAAAGTTTTTGTCAATTTGATAATCGAATCCAGCAAATATGCCACAAGAAATATGGAACCATGTATTGCAACTTGCCTCAGAGCAACGAAAACAATTACCACATGTTAAATTGCATATTACACACTGTAAAATATTTAATTTATTTAAAATATGTCACTTGATGTGGGTATAAAAAAAATACAACTTTAGAAAAAATCCATCATATACCTTTTGGTCTGTTGAAAAAGTGTTGATAGTTAATAGATTACTGCCATGCACAAGAATATGACATTCAACATGTGACCATCCATCGATTTTAAATTCTTTTAAAGCACCACCTTTCAATGGACAGTATACACAAGCCTAAAATAGGTACATAAATTAAAAACATTTCAATGATTATTAAGATTTTGTTATAAACTATTTTTAATAAATGAAATATTTTTTTTCTACATAGGTATAGATTTTTCTGGAACTATGAAAAATATAAAAAAAATGTAATAATAATACAAAATAATAATCTCTCGAATCAAATGAGTTCTAGTTTGACACAAAAATTATTTTTTTTAGTTGAGAAATTGCACAACTTCACATAAACTATTAATTTATAATATACTTACAGCAAGCCTAGGATTTTTCATGCATCGATCACACACCCAATGACTACTTGTGTCTACGTTTGTGCCATAACACACTTTATGAACAGTCAAATAACATTTTACACATCTTATAAGATCTGCCTTAAAAACCTCGTTACTGCCGGAAAGTGCTTGTTTAAATAATGCTTTGGTAGGTCTCTGCAAGTTGGTTAACTTTGGATGCATGAAATATTTGGCTATGATTTGCCAATCCAAGTTGAAGGTTAACTATTTAAACAATAAAAATGTATTATTATTTTTAAAAGTTTTTTCAAAACAATTTATATTCTGAAAATATATAATGGTGTAGGCAACAATCACATTTTGATCATAGTTTATATATATTCTACATTTATATAAGTAGAAACAAATGATACATGTACTTGGGAAATTAATTTTCTATTACCTTTTTACGATTAAACATCATACATAATGAACAATGTGGATAATCCATACTTTTATATACATTATAAAGTTGCTCAATCTCAAATGAGTAACAATTGTTGAACATATCACTTATATTATTCAGCATACCTGCGAATAAAAATTGTCATTAAAATATAAAATTCAAATAGATACAGATATTTTATTCAACATACAAGTAACCTCGGCGTCAACTTATGTGCTAAAGTGTGGCTTTTAAATACTACATGTGTACATATGGTTGACTCGTAGGGATGAAAAACAAGTGTTACCGGATAATCTCCCGGAAAAAACAGATCGTCACCGAGGTTAGGTTTTATGTTAAATAGAGAGTAAGGTAGAAAAACATATTTTGAACCTAAAATTAAACTATTCCAATTTTATTTAAATAATTCAATTTTAAGATTTAAGAATTACCATCAGAATTATTAACATTTATATTGTAACCATTATTACTAGTATCATACATATTTTATTGCATACTTAAATTTTGATATTAATTTTCATTAGGAAGACACTACGCCCACAGGTGTGTCTCCGTCTTACAAACTTACATCATAGCATAAACTGTTTTGCACGAAATAGAACCACCCAAGCTGTAGTCCAAGCTAGGCAACTAAATTTTCACACTTCAAACAATACAGCATTTACTGTGCAACATAGTTAGTTATTTTCGATATCACAAGTACAAGAAAAATGATTCAAGTTTGATATAATACATTTTTAAAATATAAAAACTTTTCTTGTATTTATGATATCGAAAATAATTAAATACACAGTAAATGCTCTCTTATTAAAAAAGTGTGAAAATTAGGTTGCTTAGCTTGAACTACAGCTAGAGTGGTTCTATTTCAAGCAAAACAGTTTTTACTATGTTGTACGTTTGTACAACACATGGGGGTGTGGCATTCTCTTAAAAAATAAAATTTAATAATTGCAGATAAAACATAAGAAAAAATTAACTAAAACATACCATAAATTTCATGTTTATCGTCCACAATCTGTTTAGGTTCAAGTATTGGTTGAACAAAATTCTGTGTATATTTCATACCTTCTTCTTTTTTAGTTTGAGACATAAATATTGATGTCATCTGAGATGGTTGATTTTTAGAATTAATAACGTGATTTGCACTGGTAAGAGATGAGTTATAAGGTCTTTCCAATTTAATTGGTGGCAATTGTTTTGTTCTAGCTACATTTAAATGTATGTTCTCATTGACACTGTCATATTTTTCAGATATCAAATGATCATTGTTTAAAGAATTGTTAAAAACTGTTGAATTTTTAATACTCTTATTGAGACATTTATTCACCCGAGACTCTTCAGTATTTTTATTAACATTCATAGATTTGAGACTCTCGGCATTGATAGATGATGTAGTTATTATATTTTTAATACTATCACTTTCTTTGGAGCTAATGATTGTTGAACCCATAAGGTTAATAGTTTGAACATTTTTCTCAGTCGATTTAGAATTTTTGTGTTTCTTAGATTTGGGATTCATTTTTGTTCCTTGCTTTTTAGACTTTCTTTTATCTGAACCATCACAATAATCACTATCACTTGTAAATTTTATATCTTCCAAGACTGAATGATTTTCCTTCAAAAGTCTAGATTTTCCATTATATGATACTTTAGTGGCATCTAAAAATAACCATTCAATTAAAAAATTATCATTGAAGCAACAAGATCAATGTAAATGCTACATACTCATTTCATCAACTTTTGGACATATATCTTTCATTATTTCTCTCTGTTTACCTCTATATTTTTTTTCTTTTAATCCTTGTACACTTTTTGATGAAGGTACACTTATAGCTTTGTTTTCAGATGTTGTATCATTAGGCAATTGAGAATCTGAACGTTTATATGTTTCACAACGTTTTTTAACAACCTTTTTACTATGTTTTAAAATACCTGTATTTCTGTAGCATAAAAAACCAAAATTAAAAATAACTTTTTATTTTTGAATAATGAAAACTAACTTACTTTTTGTTACATAATATGTCAGATTTAATAGGTAGGCGAGCTTCTAAATTACGACTAGGAGCTACTGGATGAGTACCAATATTATTTCTTTTAAGCCATGACTCATATTCTCTGGGCTGTAGACGTTTAACAAATGTATCCATATTGATCTTAACTGAATCTTTCCTACAATGACACTGTGAAGCATTTTTCCCAAAATCCACCCAACGTGGTGATGCAAAGTTGGTCGATTCAGCTATATTAAATCCGTGGTTAAAACCAGCATGATATCCAAAGGGGAAAGTTATCATGAATTCACCTTTCTCTTGTGTGATCTAAAACAAACAATAATATTAACCATAAAAAAATCATTACTGGTGATCTTGTTTAAAATCAGTAATTATCAAGTATTTACTTTATTAAATGGTATAGAATGTACTTTTAACGTGTGTGGGGATATAACAGTCATTTTATGTCTAAGAAAAGCAGGACATGATGATGCATCAGCTGGATAAAAACTATTAGCCAACCTTTCTAGGCGGCGACCATGTAGTGGTGGTATTGCATACCTTAAGTAAAATAAAATAGTTAGTATTCAATTACAAAAGTACAATAATATAATATAAGAATAATCTTACCATGTCTTTGGAAATCCATCATGGACATAGTTTATACTATACAAGTCCATGTCTTCAGTATGCCATGCGAATGAGGTTTTCCACATACCAAAATATAGATAAGCTGTATTGACACCTTCAATGCTAACACCATAATCTTCATTTACATAATCCAATACCGTGCCCAATTTGTTGATATTCCAAACCTTAATTTAATACAAAGAAATATTTACTTTATTTAAATATACATATTTGAGATAAAATAAATTATAATTTATAAATTTAACACTTACCTCAACACATTTATCTGTAATAGATCCAGATACATCTGCACCATATAGTGAGGGTTTATAAACTACATTTTTCCAGTATATTCTTTCAAGTTCCTTATAATCAAAATGGTCAGGAGTCTTATATTTATCAGACAATGCCAGTGTTTTGTATTCTAATACTGTCATAGGTTTCTTTTGTATATTAATTTGTCGATAAAATCCTTCTTTACCCTCTACAACCTAAATCAATGTACTAATAATAAAAATAATTTATTAAAAGCTAAGGACTTAAAAGCATTACTTGACAGATTGGAGCTGGAATTTTCAAACTCATAATATCATCATCATCATAACTATTTTTTCTTGGTATCCATTCTTTTGGTGGGATAACCTACAAGATAACAATAAAAAATAAAATAAAAGGTTAAATTGAAATAATAAAATATAAAATTTTAAAAGCTTAAAGATATAAAAAAGCTACATTTTTATTAAAACATACTTTTGCAATTCCAGCTAGGTGAGCGCCTTGCGACTCCATTAGCTCAATATAGCTACTGAAATTTTGAAATTCACTCCATGTTGGTCTGAAAACCATGATTTTAGGTGTTGTACACATCTTATCTAAAATTATAAATCACTATTAAAATCAACATGTTTTAAGCATAACTAAATTCAAATTTATAAATAATATTATAATAACTAAATTTCAACTCTAAAACATATTAAAGATGGCAACAAATGTATTGTACTTTGGATATCTGATGGTATATTGCAACGAAAAACAAATTTATTACTAATAAAACATCCAATATTTTTAAAAAAAATTTCTTTACTATAGATTTATCACTTAATTTATTTATTGTAATTGTTGAAAAAAATAAAGATAAGCAAATTTAGTGTGGAATCGTTTTAAATCAGTAGCTTATAATATTAACTGCTATACACGGTTGCTTTCACAAAGAATATTTTATTTTATAGTTACTTTAGCTTTTAATGATTTATTTAGAATCAGATAAAGCCAATATCTAATTGTATTTTTGCTAAGTAAAGCCATACCTATCCCACTATCAGATTTAAAAAAAAAACATCACATGCATTTGAAAATTCTATTCTGGTGGAGATTTAGGTATCAATGTAGACAAATGTAATTTACGCTCCATACCACAACATAAGCTTTGTACATAATTTTTATTCTATTTTTTTTTTTAATATGCATAACGGACTAATTTATCGAACTCAATACTTGCTAGTGGTGTCCAGTCTGAGACTGACGACGTTAGGACATTTTTTAAACAATAAAATAAGGTTAGCAATATTAATGAATGGAAAGAAAACGATAAATTAAAATTATTTTCTATTTTTGTAAAAGGCACAGCCAGCACCTTTTTAGTTAACATTCAAGACCAAACACAAAATTGTTTGATGATGGAAAGAATTACATGAGACCTTCAACCCACAAGAAACGACACGGTATTGGACAGGTGAGAATGGATATATCACAAGTTACTTAGCCGAAATAGAAAGACTATAAAGGCAGGTGAATAACATGAGCAATGAAGATGTTTGCAGATATATTTAAATGGTCTGAAAAATAATATTTTACAATGAATTATGATTTAGGACAATAATAGCTTAGGAAACTTAAAAGAAAACTTAAAAAAAATTTGAACTGATGCAATTTAGGTTAAAAAATAGAAAAGGGGATAGAAGTGAATATTCAACAATTCTAAATGAACAGGTATAATAATGATTACAATGAAAACAGAGGACGGAGTTATAATAGAAAAAGAGAATACTATAACAAGAAACGTGAGTATCGAAATAACAGTCCTTACCCATCCGGATCAAATAATATACATATAACAGTAGCAGGAATTATAATAGAGACAATCCATACTCAAAAGAAAAAAGAACAATTATGACAGTTCTAGGCAAAATAGTAGGAACAGAAAATATGACAGAGATTTTATGAAAAATAAACAGAGAGATAATCAAGACAGGGAAAAAAGAGGAAATTAAAACTATGACAAACAACGTTATACAAAAAACCGTCAATACAGCAGAGAGAATAGTTAAGAAAGAATGACACTATAATATAGAGAAGACTACTATTCAAAAGAATCTGAGAGAGTCACTCGTTATTGGTGTAACAAGAGAGAGCATTATGCTGATAATTGTAAAATTCCAAAAAATTATTTAGGATTTAGGAAAAAAAATCGAAGCAGCTACACAGAAAAACACTTATGAACTAAATAATATAACGTCAGATGAGAAAAATAATTATAGGTATACATTTTATAAAAAAAATGGTATGACCAAAATTTAAATAAAACCGTGGTTAGGTTACGTTAGCAGTTAATAAAGACCTAGATTTAAGTGAAACAGATATTGAAACCATGTATCTAAAAAATAACCCAGAACGAGAGTCAGAATGACAAAACTTTTTACTCTATAATAATATGAACGCTATACGAGCGTGTGACTATTTATAAGTAACAATTGTTATTTTTTTTCACTAGACAAAATCTGGGCAATAGGCCACTGTGCCAATAAATGTCTCACCATGTCCCAAAAATAGCATTAAAATTTAAAAACAAATTTATTAATACTAAACAGTGAATTAATCAAAATAAAAGTACTAACAAAATAGCTTATCTAAAATCAAATGACTAATGATTATAATATCTTATTAACTAAGACAGTTCTTATGATAAACTTAAGTATTCTAATATTTTCAAAACCTTAGAAAATACAAAACAATTTTGAAAAAGGTAACAACTTTTTTAAAAACTATGAAAATATACATCCAAATATTTAAATAACATAATTAACAAAGAACTAAAATATAGTAATAAACATGATTACTGTCTGCACTTATGTAGACAAACATTACAATACAAGAGTAAAATAATACTAAAACATGAAGGTATTGAAAAATATATAATTGACACCGGGTCCAATATTTCATGCATAGATATTTCTTTAATTAATAATATAGAGTACTTTAAAATTGAGAGAATAGTTATTATAACAAGAACAGACAACACCCAATTAGAACAATTAGGCGAAATAAAATTAGTGGTTAAAATAAATAATAATACGTACTTTATTAATGAGTTCGTAATCGAAGGACTAAATTGCAAAATATTCCTAGGAGATGACTTCAACATAAAAAATAACGGAATCATCAATTTTAAGGACAAAAATTTGAAATTAAATTAAAATGTCATAATACCTAACTAAATACTAACTAAATATAAAATAAGAATTAGCAAAAAAAAAAAAACGTTACATACAATCAAGCAAAAATAATATGATAACAAAATTATAAGCAAAATCATGGACAGACAAGGAATAGGATAGATGTTTTAACAGTGAACCCCCTCCTATACCACCAATATAGTTACTAACATATTAAACAAACATAAAAGTAATGAGAACACCCATTACATTTTAATTAAGAGCAAAATTAGTTTTAAAAAATAATCACAATGTAAGACCATCTAAAATATATGTTCGAACATCATAAATGCAAACAAATTAAACTTAATAAAAAAGTACTTACTCAAATAAAATTTATTTAACACGACTAATTTTCATTCTCACACAACAAAATCGCAAAACCATTCAACTTTTTAAGATATTAATATTTCATTAAAAATTTAAATGTAATTAGTATTTTAGGTAATATTTTTTTTCCTTGTTTAAACATAATGTAAAACAATTAAACACAATATTAGTATCAAAATCCAATGCATTCACAAAGGTTAGACAATAGTACACCGAGATAACTCAATAATTAATACAATTAAACATAAGAAAAGGAAAAATGAAATTAAAAAATGGAATAAAATCACAAGCTCAGCAAACAGCATTCACATTATTTGTATTTTTTTTTTTTTACTCCATCTAACTCTCAATTTTTACCATCATCCTATTTTGTCTCAAAAAAAATTAATATACCTTACCTATTTTTATATCAAAAACTGCCTGATAAATAAAACCTAATAACCATTATGTAAACACAGTAAACAAAAAGATAAACAAAAGAAATTTAACAAAGTAAAAATTAATAAATATAACAAGATTTGAGAAATATAGAATTTTATTTAAGCAGACTTAAGAAAAAATAAAACCTCATTTAACCTAAATACACATAGAAGATAAATCGAAAAGAAAGTGAAGAAAAATATAATTCTGGACTTAGAAATTAGAAAAGGTTTTAAAAACATTATACATTTTATCTTATCCCAAAATACTTCCTTTCACAAATATGTAATTTTACCATCCACATTTACTTTTTCACACTCCAACTACTAACATATGTAAGAAAAGCAACAAGGGAAGTAGCATCTACCTATTAATCGATATTGTAACCACCCTAATCTGCTTATAGTTAATTAATGTCTAATACCTAATGTTAAAAATTAATCTAATACTATTTTGAAACATATCATATTATATACCTACAAACTTGTTGAACTATATATTGCTACATGTTTACTCTTTTTCTTTACTTAATGTGTCTTATAAATTTCATTGCTTTAGATTTAAAATATTTTCTTTTATAACATAAAGGAGTGTTGTATGTGCTAACCAGTTTGGTGAACAACAAAAGCTAAAGTAAATAATAAAATTAAAGACTGTATCGTATTTTTAACAATAGGCCGATGAAACAAATGAGCCGAGGCAGCACATTGTAAAACTATATTTAAGCACGTAAGCACCATGGTCCACAGTAGAAGGGCAGTGAGGGTTCCCCAGCGAGACTCGTATGTTTGATTGTGTCTTGTATTTTTGTGGGTTTTAAAATAATAAAAGTAATTAAAGCAGTATGAATTGTCGATTGTCATCTAAATTTTGTGTACCTTACAAAAGGCGGATGTAAGACAGTACATATCAAATTTTTCAGTGGTATTCAAGTCGCCGGACGAGCGGAACGCACCTAGCAGCCAGCACCCATATAGGTCCTTATAATATAATATTTTGTGTGTGTGTGTGTGTGTGTGTGTGTGTGTGTGCGAGTGTGAGTGTGCTTGCGCGTGGGACTGAATACCATGCATAAATTGCTACTACGTACTAGGTGACGATAATCGTAAATAAAGAATTATGTGTAAATACCTTGTGAAATTGTTAGCCGGATGCCAAATGCGTAACTCCAACTGTAATATACGCGTAAGATAGACTCCAACAAACGGATGCAAAACTTCGAGGAACACGCTGCGAGTCGCTACTCGCTGCCACGAACAAGCAAACAACTCGACGGTCTCGACGGCTGAGTCGACCGTTATCGCTATGACGCCGTATTATCTACCCTCTCCTCCACGTCATCACCACAAACACCATAACCAGTCCCAACGGCCGTACTGTGTACCAACTGCCTACCGTGGTACAATTAACCACAGGACACAAAGTGTCTGTCGTTGCAAATAGCAACTGTAAGCAGCATGGGCGAAAATCACAGGTGTTCTAATGGTAGTAATGAGTGCTCCTTGAATTTTAAAACTACCACCTTGAATCTTGTGACATCCTAATTTCTAAATAATTGGGTAAATGGAGTTTTGCTCGAAATAGTATCACTCAAGCTGTATTTCAAGCTAAGCAACCAATTGTTCACTTTTGTTCGTTTTAATTTTTTCGATATTTCGAGTACTAGAAAAGTTCTTATTATTTAAAAACTAATTATTTCAAACTTGAATAACTTTTGTATTTGTGATATCGAAATAAATAATGTGATAATAAAATATGTTGCACAGTAAATGTTCTCCTCTTAATAGTATGAAAATTTGGTTGCTTAGCTTGTACTACAGCTTGACTAGCTTGAGTTTTTCCATTTCGCGCAAAATAGTTTATGCGAAGTTATACACTTTTAAGACGGAGCAACGCGTGCGAGTGTGGCGTCCTTTTAAGCAAAACGTATACGAAATGTCAGGAAAATACGTACAAGTTGATAGTAGTTGATAATATCCCAACTCCACGTAGGGGGAACCCGCCTAACCATCAGTACGACAGCATTCCCAGTGTTAATTTGTCTTCCCATCTTGTGCAAGTACTATTATCACGGGAAAAGTTAAAAGACCACCGTCTTCGAATATAAGGTCCGACGACTGTCGCAAATTTAACTCACTTGACGCGATAGGTATAATAATATTACAGAAACTCTGTACACCTGTCCTACTAAACAACGTATTGTGCAACATTGTGTTATTTCCTTTAACAGGTACTTATTTATGTGTACACTAGCAGCCGACCTGTCGCGGCTTCGCCCGTCATTGGTTTGTTTATTTTGCCTTCGACTGTGATGTGTATAATTTTTTTATTCAAATTTTATTATTTAAACTGTTTAAAGTGATCGTCATGTAAATACAAAAAACGGTTAATGAAAACGTATTGAATTATGTCTAACGGTATTAATGGTGAATATATTTTTATTAAAAATGAATACAGATACAAAAGAAATGCTAATTAATCTAGTTGATAAAAATTTTTATAAAACTTCTGAGAATATAAAGTTTTTTTGTTCTATCTCCTGTTGAAATCAAAATCATCAGATGATTCGTGTCTCCAGTTCGAGAAAATCTTACGTTTAATTGTACGTACATAGATTGTATTATATATCCGTCGGGTGAATCGTAACACGTTTTGAGTGTTGTTGGCGTATCAATAAGAAGAGTCTTCTTTATTATACAGATAAGTGATCAATGTTTTCCATGCAACTCTTATAGTATTAAAACTATTACATTAATTTGTAGTCTATAATTTCACTAAGTGTTTATTTAAGAAGGAGTACTTAAATGATCATAACTGTAGTAACTCGTCATTCTCTGTCCTTTTCATAATTATACTAAACTTTTTACTTATTGTACCCCCTAGTACAGATTGTAAATATTCATTTAAATAAACAATTTAAAAAAAAAAAACTGTACTAACTGATTGTTACTATAACTATATAAAAATAATAAAAATAGATCACTTGTATTTGGTATAACTTTTTACTTATTTTTTATTGACGAAAGTGATACTAAAACCTTCAGCAAACTGTCAGGTATAACAGTAAAACATTACACCAAAATCAGTTCTGTAGTTTTCTCTGTTAGCACAGTCGTAGAAAAACCCTTACAATTTTATATAGTAGTAGAGATAAGATATAGGTAATGATGTTAATACTAAAGGTGTTTTGGACAATTAAAACTGTTTCTTTGCAAAAAGTGACTGATTGATTTTAATTTTTATAGCAAGAGAAGTTTATAAATTCTACACTTCTGAATTAATTTATTAAGTAAATCGCTTTGTTAAGATCTTTTAAATTGTAAAACGCAAATATTGGTCATTGTTCAACTTTCTGCATTCAAGAAAGATCCAAGTAAATGTATAATGTTCGATAATTATAGGTAAAATGAACTCTACTTGACGTTGACAATTTATAATATGTTCTTGTATGACCTTATTTAATAATATGAGTAGTATAGTAATATCTATTAATAATGTACATCAAATCAAACTTAAAGTCATTAATCATATTTATTAACAACTTAAATATTGTAAGTACCTATTCATTTTAATTGGTGCTGCACTGCTGCTTGTATCTATACTGTTTATTTCATAAAAAGCTCAACACATTAAAAGTACATATCATATTATCATATAACCTAATATCAATTTTATATCGTTCATTCTATCTCTAGTATTAATGTAGTATGAATTAATTGTTGTTTTATTTTGTTTATTACACTATTCTAGGCCTAAACATTGTTGGATTTGCTTTAGTGCTGGTGGTGATGATGATTATGAAAATAACAGAGATTGGATGTCACTATGTAAATGTCGCGGTTTTACACAATGGGTAATTTTCCATGATATTTAATATCCGTATTAATTATAATTATACACAAATAGTTATCATGTAGTATATGCTCTACTCACAACATTTCCATGCTTCTTATAGTATTACTATAGTATAGTTGACTACAGTAGTGTAATATTGAGATATTGTGTTTAAATATTCAATAATTTCTAATGTATATGATAAAAACAAAGTAATGGATATTTTAAGTTATTGCTGCTGTGCAGTTGATTACTTATAATAGAGTAGTTATTAAATCGGTTAGCCAAAGTTTTTTTAATAACATTGTTCGAACGCGGCTGACATCCCGACGAATCGTTTACGATACGGCTTTACAAGTCTTGCGCGATGGGTGTGGAATGTCTGCGACAGGTCATAACCCCTGTACGGCGTACACTCGGCCGGCCGATGTCCATTTCAACTTTCATCCGATCATCGTCGGGCTGTCTTTTGCCAACTGGCGTATCTAAGTGACCGCCCGTTCGCCCAGTGTTGTTCCGCTGACCTCGTGGTCAGTCGACCGGATTTTCAGTTTTTTTTATGTTTTATTATCGTGTACCCGTGTTCGTCGTAAGCTCCGAGGTAATGGGGGCCTGACGTGTGCGTTACACCTCTTCACTCAATCTAAGTTGTCGTTATAATTATACACGTTCCATGCCTACGTTAAAACGCTGTCGCCTTACCAGCGTGTAGCCAACACCGTCCTCCAGAGCTTGCAGACCAGGTCTATTAATTATTATTTAATGTTTGATTTATGTAAACAAACTCATGTTAGGAGTTGTCGTTTGTTAATTTATATTATAATTATTCTAATTGTAGCGCGCAATTACCTGCCCGGGCTATTATTATTATCATTGTATTTTTGTGTGCATAATATATATGTAGTGCGCATTGCGCCCATAAGTTGAATATTATAATATTTGTATATTGTATTGACTATTGAGCATTATATAACGTGGGTGATCCTCCTTCCGCCTCTAACATCCCGCAAGTTGTTGCCGCTAACCGCGATTCCAAACTAGGAGCGGCTGTGTCGCAAACAAACAGACCATGGTATATAATAAAAATAAAATAAAAACATTTATAAAATATTATTCTAGAAGGGATTTCTGTCCCAAACGAGAATATTTTTTGATTTAAGTTTACATTTAGGATTATAAAAAAAATCATATATACCTATGTAGGTATAATTAAAACTATATTAAAATTGTATTTTTGCTATTAAGTTACCTCTGAATACTAGAGTTCTATCAGATAGCTCTCATACACTAAATTTCATATACCTAGCCATATTATACTATGGAACATAAAATTTTCTATGACAGAAAATATTATTCAGTTCTTTTTATCAATACTTCACACTTCAATTGCCATTGTTTTTTTAATAATCTCAGGTCGCTGCTTGTCATTTACTAATACACATTCAAGAAACTATTTTATAGTAGACTTTTATAACAATTAATGTTTTATGTACCTGTAATTTATTCAATTAAACTATAATAATAATGTATTAAAAACAGTTGTATTGATTCACACATATAAAATTGTTATTTTAGGTTCACTTTGGTTATGTTAAACCTTGGATTAACAAAAAAATGAATGAAAATCATAGTGGTGGAGCTCATTGCTCTCATTGTGACACACAATATATTATTGTGTGTGGTAAAGTCAGTAAGTGTTTTAGAGTTAGTATTGATGATAGTTAAAACACTTAAACCTTTATTAAAACTAAATAACTAAAATAACTTTTTAAGTAAACAAATTCCTTTCTTCAATTCAATTTCTACATTTTTCTGCTATGAAAAATATTTTACGTGACTCATGAGTTAAATGTTCTATTTTGAATAACTTTAACTTTAACTTAAGCATTTTTAATTACCTGTTAAATTTAATAACTTGACCAAACATTTTTAATTTGAAAAATCTACTATCAAAATATATTTCTATTACATTTCATTACTGTTTGTATATTGTTATTAAATATTTTTTACTTCTTAAAATGTTATATTATTATTTTATATTCTATATCACATTATTTGGTTATTAAACACACTCGATAACATATCTTATCTTGTACATATTTGATAGCTGGTGTTACAGCCAATGCTTTTTATTGGTCAGCAGCATCTTACAGAGCAATAACAATAATTATTTACATAGAAGTTAAAAATAAACGTATTTTAGGTAATGGGTGTAAGAGAGGCTATAACAATTATGCAGAGTACAAATGCATATATGTTGCTCTTGGTGTTTGCATTAATACCATCAAATCAGTCTAATTTTAGTCAAAACAATCAATTGGGAAGAAACATTATTATTTGTCCTGAGATTTACTTCACAACTATCCTTGTTAAGAACCATCATGCCTTCATTTTTGTAAACCAATTTATTTAACTTATGTTTATGATGGTTTGATTAATTGATTATTAATTGTATTTGTATTGATTTTTAGGTGTGAACCTGTCAACAGTTCAATGAATACAGAGCAATTAAATTCAGTCCTGAATCCATCACCAACTACTTTGTGAGCTGCACTTGTATTTCCAACTACTGCTACTGTAGTTGGACATTCATTATTTTACAATAGTTCATATTCATACTTACAAAAATCTTTATTGGTAAGTGTTACATAAATTATAATGAATATTAATGCAAGTGCTCATTTATAATATTTTTGTTTGTATTTCAGGGTGGGTTGGTGTACATTGGAGTAATTGGTGTATTCAAAATATATCAAAGAAAACACAATG